CAGCTTGCACATCTGCAAAATGGACAAAGGAAGAAAATATCTACCTTACACAGTTGTGAGATGATGCACTTAAAGTGTTAAGGCTGTAAGTATCATGTACGTATTCAAGAAGTAAGCTAATAATATTTCCAAACCTTAGAACCTTCTGCGACTTCAGTACTGTGACCTCCGACAAGCAGATGAGGAAACTGAACGTGAGGAGGCCTGGATGAATTACCAAAGTCCATGGAGCCATCCCATGACAGAGGCAGAATTTGCACCCATGTAAAGGGCTATATCATCTCTATTTTTTTCCATTAACCCCACATTACACTTATTGATTTATTTTCAGTTGATCCTCTTGCTTTGTTTCTATATAAATATGTTTAAGTTTATGTATACTCATTCCCAGAAATTCCACTTTGGTCTACAACATGAAGGATCTATAATGCAAGGCAATGCAAACATATCTCATTTTTTTCTGCGAACATGCCCACAGCGCCTCCATAGCAGCGCCTAGGAGTATGTAACCACTCTACTTAAAGGAGCTGCAATAACTTGGATCAGTCCTGCCAAGGATCAGGGAGCCATAAAACTGGTGTTCAAGGAACCAATTCTAAAGAATGGTACACATTCTTTAATCTACAGTCTCGCAAGTGCACACAGACCATGGAATGTACAGACAGGAAGGGATGCCAAGACGTGTTTCCAACTTGGCCAGTTTTTACTCCTTCCTGCAAGGTCAGACCCATTCCAAAAGGCTGCTGTGTTCTGTGAGAAGAACTAAGGACCAAAGACAATATATTCCAGAACTACCCAAAACAAAGGACTCCCTCTGCCTTAAGTCCCTTAAGCTTCTCAGAGAAAAGGTGTCATTAGAGGTGAAACGTGCAGTTGGTATTAAGCTTTTGGTCCAGCACAATCACTGTAAACATGCTCATCACTTTCCTGTTTAACTGTCCTTTGCTGTTTTGTTTTAAGATACTTGTTTCCTCACGTGCCTTGGACAATTTCAGCTTGCTTATGAACTCTCTCAGGCAGCAGTGTTTTGTTTTGTTTCTAATTTAATCTCAGTTTTGTTGAAAGGACATGAAATTTGTATCTGAGAAGATGTTTTGGAAAACTAAAAGAAGCCTAAGCAAAAATGAAAATGTATTATTTAATGTAACGAGAGGCTGCAGCTAAGGTAGTCGTAGGCCAGAGAATTCAGCAATTCAAATACACCATCATAGACTCAGGTTACTTTTCTTCTTTCCTCCCTCTTAATGTCAGCAAGTCAATCATACTTCTCCTGATTAAATGTGGCAACAGTATCCAAAAACCAAAAAGTGTCTCTCTTCCGTGGACCTATTTTTTAAGAGCAAGAAGAATCTTTCCAGAAGGCTCCAGAGCAGGCTGCCCTTCATGTTTCATTGACCACGATTGGGCCATTGTCCACTCTCAAATCCATCACTGGCAAGAGGTCACTAGAATAGCCAAGGTTGACTGCCTGGGACTGGTAATAAGGCCAGAGCAGCAATGGATGTTGACTAGGACACCAACAGTGTCCCTGTGTTATTGAAGTCCCACAGACCTGGGATTGAATCCAAGCTTACCATTTTACCAACCTAGGCAATTTTATCTCTTGAAATTTTAGTGCCTTCTCTTGGAAAAGAGGGTTAAACACATCTACTGAAAAGGTGGTTGGTAAGGATTAAACGAGATCATGTTTGTGAAAGGTACAACACAGTGTGTGGCACATAATAGTTAATGCCTGTTGGTTTCTTCTGCTTTTCTTTTTGTCTCCCTTTTGGAAAGCTCTCAGTGTATGTGTTGCCATTAGAACTAGAGGACTTTGTCTTGTCTCTTCATGTCTGTAGTAAGTTCTCCTGTCTTTTCCTGTGATTTCTGGTTTCACAGTACTATTAATAATGCTTTTAATAATGTAATTATTACTGGTTATATACTACTAGTGGAGTAACTGATAAATGTGTAGTATAAAACAATATTGACCCAAAGTTCATATCTGTTGTCGTATTTGACCCTGATAATGTGGTCAATCAGGGATGCTACAATTAAAGGTAATGAACCAATTTATTTCTTTGTAATTTGTTATGTTTAATAAGTAAGAGTCTTCCATGCACTTTGTCCAGTGAATAAACCCACACATTAATCTTGATCAACCGCCAGCAAGTGTTTAATGAGGCCTTTGTTGCATGATTTAAGATGCTCCTTTGCTCTATTTACCATTTGTGGTGAAACTTAAGAAAGGAAAATTTATATATTTTGTCACTAAAAAAGTTTTCCTGCTGCCCTGAAAAAGAGAAAGTATTCTGTTTACATAACAGAACACAAAAAAGGCTAATGAGGATGCACTGGTTTAAATCATTATTAAGAGACACACATTTATTTTTAAAAATCAAAGATAATCTCTAATATGCATGAGTTGTAACAGCTCTTAAGTAAATGCTTCAGGAAATATTTATTCTACAATACAGCAGAGCTGATGAACTTTCCTTACTATTTCTAAAGTTTTTTGACATCCAAGGAGAAAATTCATTAGTTCTTAGCCCCTCATTTATTGAGAACCTACTATGTGCCACACCATGCTACATGAAGCAGAGGGCACAAAAGTCAAGGAAGACCAGGTCTTGGCTCTTGAGGGTGACTGTCCAGTTAGGGAAAGAAGACACACACAATCGGCTTGAACAATGCAGGACAGGAACGTGGAGTTGAAGGGGAGCTGCAATGGCCACTGGAACTGTCACAGCTAGCTGGTGGCCTTGGGCAAACTCCCTGTCTTCTCTGGGCTTCCGTTTCTCTCCTTTGTAAAATGATTGATTTTAACCAGAGAATGCCTAAAACTAAAATTCTAAATCTAAAATTCTGTGCTTTTCAAAGTGGTCCCAAAAATTCACTAAAAACTGGAGTAGTGAACAAAGTTTCAAGATGAGCTACACTAGAGGTAGTTTTGAAGGATGAAGAAGATGGGACAGTGTGGACAGAATATGAGAGAGGGGACAACACATTCAGGGCAGCAGGAATTAGAAGGGACAAGTGATAATTCTGGGGTCATGATTGTCATCCTAGCTGGAGTAAGGAAACATGCTGGACAGTCACCATAGGAAAGCCAAATGACCAACAAGTGTGCAGTCAGATACAAGCCTGAGCAAGTCAGCCTTGGTGTTACTATTACATAGAAGACTTCACCCTCTTACCTCCTTTTTAATTTTAATCCATTTGCTCTTCCTCCTCTTCTTTCTCTCCCATCTTTTCTTTCCACTTCTTCATCTTGATATTTTTCTTGTTCCTTCCCTTGCCTTCTTGTTCTCCATGTTTCCTTCTTTCTATTATAATGGTGTTTATAGTTTACAAAGTACTTTTCCCTGTATGATACTTTTTAATAAGAAAATAATTTATTCCATTCTCAGGCTTCTCAGAATTCAGACTCTGGAGCTAGAAAACATGGGTTGGAGTCCCTGGTTATTCCATTTACCAGATGTCTGGTCTTAGACAAATTCTCTTCCCTGTCCTTTAATGTTCTTTTCTGCCAAGTGAGTATAATAGTGATACCCACTTCACAGAGTTGTAAGAGTCAAATTAATAACTAAAACACTTATAACAGTGCAGGGCACTTGGCAGATTCTAGGTGTGTTAAATATTATTTGGAAAAAACCTATCAGGTCATTCTCTCTTCTGCCAATGTGGGTCATGCTATGCATGATTTTCTAAGTTTTTGTGCCCAACATCCACAGTGTATGGCCTATTAACAACTTTTACTTGAGCGAGTTGGAGCACCATCTGAGTTAATCATTTAAATATGCTAACCAAAATTTCAAAAACACTTTAAAATCTTCTGAGCAAGGCAATGGCCTGAAGTTGCAGCCGTTTTAATTAGTTTCACCTTCTCTGCTCCACGATCCAGAAATCTCTACCCGCACCATGGCAGCCTCCTGCTCCCTGTCACGGATCTGACTTTACCTGCTACTATTTAAAGTTTATGAATCATGCTCCCTCTGTGTGAACTCCTGAAGCTTCTGAAACTACATGAATAATTATCAAGATGCAATTGTCACGGTTTGTAAAATATGCTGTGAAAAGATTGCTTTTCCTTTTTCTATGAACCTGGTTTTTTTTTTTTTTCCCCCAGTTGTCTCCAATTTGCAGCCATGAGCCTGAAAAAAATGTCAGCTATTCCCCCAATGAACAGAGAAAAAGGTTCTTAGGATCAAGAAGTCTGACATCTGGTAAGCAAACACTTTGTTCTCTAAAAGGTGGTGAGAATGTACAATGGCAGCCTTTTCTGGGCACTAACTTTTAGGCTTGCCTCCGTGCTCTGCCCCATCTATTGTCTCAGTGGGGCCCCTGGCATGAATGTCAATGAGAAAGGAGCTGGTGCTGGAAGTTCCCAGTAACACGGTGAGGCTGTTCCTCTAGGCAGAAGCATCATGTTCTCAGTAATGAGCTCTTTTTTTCAATATCCCAGGCATATTCTGATTCTTTCCACTAGCGTAAATATTAAATCTCACTCTACAAACTATAGAGCCATTAGACTCAACACATTAAAAAAATTGAAGAAACATTGAAATAAAAGCAGATCACTCTTAATCATTTGTTATTTTCTCTCCTGTTTTATTTACCATTGCATTTTTAAATTTCAGAGAGGGCCAATCACTCCCTGCTTTCAAATCCTTTCCTCTCCTAATGTCTGCAGTCCTAAATTTTTTTTTTTTTACCCTTGAAAGCAACACATATACACATTGATATACACTTTACAATATTCAATAAGATTCTCTTTCCATAATTATTTAGATTAATTTCTTTTCTTCCCCACATCCTACAATGTGGTTATGCTATTAGTTTATTACAACTAAATTCATGTCATTTGCATTTCATCCCAGGTTAACCTCTTATCCGAGTTGGCTTTAATTATTTGTTTGTTTGGTGGTATGTGAAGAGTCTATAAAACATTACTATGGTTCTAAGAGCTAATAAAAAAGATATACTCAAGAAAATATCACCCTCCTCAATACCTGATACCCAAAAGTACGGAACACTTCCCGAATGTGCGTGTCATCCTTGCAGAGGGGCCATGCTAATCTTCTCTGCAGCGTTCCAGTTTTACTATCTGTGCTGCTGAAGCGAGCTGCAGTCCTAATTTCTTATTCATTCATTCATTTATTCAAAAATAAAAAAGATGCCTAAAAATAAGCTGATCATGCTCTCCTTTGACCCAAACAAAACAACATGTAAAGATTTTCTAAAAAATCTTCTACTCATTTTCCGCTGCCGTTACGATTATCCAAAGTTCTTAGCCGGATATGTTGAGGCCTTCACAGTTCCACCATAATCACCCTCTCCAGCCTTGTATCTTATATCGCACCACCTCTGCTATACCCATCTGAGGCCACAGTGATCATTTCCTCACTGGTCCCTGGAAGTACCGGACACTTTCGGGTCATTACACATTTGTTCACCCATTCAAGCTTCTTCTTCAAATCATTCTTTGCCTGTATTCCCCTGCTTATTACTTTACTGCTCAACTTTCTCTGACTTCCTAGGTACTTCTATGGTGTATGCTCTTGTCAATATTTTTAAATCTCTTATTTTATAATGAATGATTCATTCACATATCCTTCTCTCCCTCTAGGATGGAAACTCCTTGAGGGTTGGGATCATGTCTTAGTCATCTTTATACCCAAAGTGCTGTGCATAGAGCCGGGAACACAGCAAGCTCTTATTCGATGTTTGTTACATAAATGGGTGGAGGGATAGATGGATGGATGAATGGATGGATGGATGAATGCATAAATGAGTGAACAAATGGTTTCTATTGCCTCTTTAGTAAGGAAGAGATTAATAATATGTATAAAGTTTTAACCTTATGTATAGAGCTAGATTTTTTCTGCTATAGATGAAAAGAGATTTAACGAAAGCTAACCTAAGCAAATATCTGGCTCACATGGTTGAGAAATGCAGGGACAGAGCTGGGCTCAGAGACTGCAAGGGACTCAAAAGGTGCCATCGGCTTTTCCCTTCACACACATGCGTGCGCACACTCAGTCTCTTTTCTCTTCATCCCCTGTCTTCCCCACCCCCCACCTTCTCTTAATTACTGCCCTCCTTCTCTCCTATATTTGATGAATATCCTTCTACCATTGGAACCAGAGAGGCTAGTCATCCTTGGAATTGTATCATTGCACATTAATGATCCTAGGAGAAAAGAGAGAATTTCTTAACCTAGAGGTTATCTATAAAACCCCAGCAAAGGATTCTAATTGACTGTGTGATGTGACCAGCACAGTAGTAAACCCTGATATGCCAGGCCTGGGGGAGACGGGGTGGTGCCCTTTGATGAGTGATCCCACAGAATCCCACACAATGAGGGCAAGACAACTACTCAGAGAGTAGTAATATAATTATATAAAGGGGGAAAGCAATGCTGAGATGGTAAAAGAACAGATTTCCACCACACCCTGGGGTTTCTTTATGCATGTAAGCAGCAACATAGCACACTTCGAAATGCGGTGATGGTGTTTCATGTTAAAAGATAGACATTTAAATATTTGCCAAAGAAATCATATAAATAAAAGTAAGAAAAAGACTTAAGCATTAAAACACCTTTTTAATTTGTTTTTGTTTTTGAAGATTGTACCTTTGGCTTCATGCCTTTGTTTTTGAATAGCTCAAATAGAAGTGTCAAAATGAGAATTTCTCTGGAATTTTCTTTACCTCATCAGAAATTAAGTAGACTCAGGAATTTCACCAGGGGTCTTTACGCCTTCGAATTTCAGGCTTGTTTTCATCTGTGACATGTTACTGGAAACATCTGAAATCAGAGCTGCTCCATAGTTCTCTCTCAAACTTGGCAAGTAAAAACCTCATCTTCAAATGCATTTTCTCAACTTAATTCTCCCATGCTACATGCTTGGTGGCCCTTCCATTCGTCTATTTTTTGGCAGAACAATACGTGGTCTATTTTCCAGAACAAATTTTTTTTTTTAAGACCCAGGTTATTGCTACTCCAAAAAGCAAAGAGTCCCTGGATCAAAATGGAACCACAAGTTCCATTTGGCATCACTCAGCCAACCTTATCAGCAGAGGCCAGTGATGTTTTTCTCTGAAATCAGGACTTTTATCAAGACAACAGAGCACAAGTGAATTCTGCAATCTGCACTTGAAACGTTTATGGCCTAGAAACCAGCCCCCCGGTAGGCAGGAGGACTGGCCCTTTTGGCTGATCCCAAACCCTCTGCTTGATAATTTTCTAATTTCCCATGACATCTTGAAAGTGCATTACATTTGCTGTTCTTTAATTATTCATGCTTAAAGTGCATCTTCCAAATTAGCTTCTACGTTACTTTAGGGCAAGAACATACAATATCTTTCTCTGTTCTGCACAGTGTTCACGAATCCTCAGAAAATACTTATTGAATAACTGAGATCTTTTCACACCTTTTCCATTCTATCAACTCACATAAAGCAATCTAAGAGCAAAACTATGGAAGAACATACCCAGTCTATGTTCTTTATTCCAGAACCCTTAAGTGTAGTAAATGTGGTTCCAGATTAGTAAATACACTGGACAGTTCTTTGGAGCTCTGACATAGCATTGGAATGTTTTTACTTTGAAATCTTGACCTCCTAACAGTAACAGAGCTTGGGTGGTTACCTAATTGCTAGAAAGATAACCCTTTGGAATAATGTAAATGACAACCATTCATCCGTGCAATGTCTCTGCATAATTGGCATCTGCCCTAATTATTCCAATGAAAAGTGAATTGCCTTTCTTAAATTTCTGCAATATGGCCCAAGGTGTCTCACGTAATAGTAGTTAGCCACTGGCTGGTCAACTGTGCAGATATATAAGTATATTTGGCTATGTTTCAGTGAAGCAATAAAAGGCAGTATTTATTTTCAAACTTTTTATTAATTATATCATATCAGTCCCTTTTTCAAGAAGATACCAATAAGATTCTTCAGTTTAGATAAACTACCTTTGGTTCACTTTATATAAAATTGAATATTTTTAATATATAAGCTTTTGGAAATAATTAGAATTCACACATGACTTCTTTTTGTAATCAGAATTTTAAAAATTGCACTATATAATTACAATGTCCTATAAAAAATAACCTTGTTGCACTGAAATGTTTTTGCTGTAAACAAGTCTATCTTTTAATGGGATATTTGTCAGTGCATGTATTCAAAGAAACACTCTCAAGCAAGGCATGTCTCAGAAGTTAGGAAATAATTATATTTCCAAACATAATCTTTTCTAATCATCCCATTTTGTTTTACTTAAAAATAACCTGGGGGTTTCTAAGACAGGTACAATTATCTTTGATCTCAGCTATGAGGTATCATCCTTCCAGAAAATGATTTGGGTGGGGGAAACAAATAACTCAGAGGTTGACTTTTCTTTTTCTCTCCCTGAAAATCCTCACTCTAATTACAAATAAATACACTAGCAAGGAATAGTCTAAATTTAGCCTCTAGCTTTTTAAAGAAGATGAGGTGGAAAGCACTGAATTCATAGTAATATTGAACACCCCATCCATGCAGTTTTAATACATATCAATGTTCACCTAGTATACAGACAAGGCTCCTTTCAGTTCAATAAACTTTTATGAAGCCCCTAAACTACAACAAAAACTCTGCTGAGTTTGGGGGGCATCAGGGTGAAGATGACAAGGTTCAAGACAGATAATTTACCATTTGGGGGAGACAAAAAGCAAACATGCAATTCCAATACAATGACATTAAGTTATGCCCAGATTGATACAGGAACACAGAAGGGCAGGGTTGCTGATGGAATTCTTAGGGAGTCTTCTGCCTTGCAGAGTGCCTGGGCTGAGCTTTGGAGGAGTAAATGTTTCATAGGTGGGAAAGGCGATGGGCAAGAGGAGAAACAAAGGCAGCCAGTCCATCAGTGCTAGGAAAAGCCTGATGTTTTTGCAGCAACATCTCCTGGATTGGGATGGGGTAGGGAGTAGGCCAGTAGGTGTCAGTTCCCAAGGTATCTGTGTACCACAGCTAAGAATCTTGCTTTGCTCTAACTAAGAAGCAATCCCTGGCCAGGCCTTGATCTTCCAGGATGTCACAGCAATGGGGCCAATCCCAAGCCAAGTTATTGCGTATTCCCTGAGAACCCCTTTGCACTGCTGCCTCCAGCACTCAGAAGCCTATGCCACTTTGCATGTAAAATCCCCAGACAGTGCCTGAAACTGTGGGTCTTTTTTGTTGCCATCCTGTTTAAGGAAATATTATTAAGCCCTTGCCACATTTTGGCGACTGAAGAGATGCATGATAAACAATCAGACCCTGGCCTCAAGGAACTCACAAGCCAGTGTTTATCCTGGATCCCATCTCCTCAGGACTCCAAGGGCACTTTGAGGGGGCAATGAGCGAAGGTGCCAAACAAAGTCATGCACTGTTAAGAGGAGAAGACAATTTTCTCAGCCCTCTTTCCCCTTCCGAGTAGCATATACACATTATGCCAGTAAACCTCCTGAAGACACTGCCCCTGTCTTCAGTCTACTGGAGAAATACAATTTTTGAATTATCTAGAAATATTTTCATATTTGCTTCTTTCTTTAGAAGCCTTCAGAGTGTTTTAACATTTAAATCTTCACATTGGTTGATTTTTATTCTCAGGTATGATAAAAAAAAAAAGAGATGTACAAAATATGTAAGCTTTTGGAAAAATGAAGAAGCTGGTTCTGCAGGTACGATGTACAAGCTAGAAGGGGAGAATGGCATTGGCACCAGAAAGTAGGGGACATAGTTTGTTCACAAAAATTGACCTCATCAATAAGTAATTTCTGAACATTTTCCAGGTGCAAGATGCTAGAGATACAAAAGAATCTGATAATATCAGCCGCGTGTGTCCTCCACGGGCTGACCTCTCCCTGGGAGGCAGGTAAGCCTGCGGGCAGAAGCGTGGGAGGTGGAGCCGAGAAGAGGAAGCCCAGAGCTGGGTGTGAGGAGGCTTAGCTGACAAGGACAGTGAGCAGCAATAGCAGGCCAGAGAGACACAGTGCGATGAAGAGGATACTGTGTCACCCAGAGAATGAGCTCCACCCGCCCTGTTGGCTATAATGTGAAACCCAAGACCTTTCAGGAACCAGCCATGGCCAAGGACGAAGACATTCTTCCTGCTCTGGCAGGAGTCAACTGCTCTCCGAAGGATTTCAGTGGGCAGATCCTCCTGGGGAGGCTATGGCTTGGAGCCAGGGTGCTAAGGTTGCCTTAAAGATCCTCATAGTCTGACGCCCGGTCTCTAGGCCCTAAGGACCTGTCACAGTTCAGCTCAAGTCCTGCAAAGCTGTAATTAGCGATGGTAAGGCAGACCCAATAATTTGTTGATTTAAATGGGGACTTTCACAGCTTGAGACACAGAGTCACCCTAGCTATTAACCTTGAACACCTAATGCATGGCCATGCATGATTCCTGTTGCTGTTTTAGCATATTTGTGTCAAACATCCTTTAAGAATTAGAAAAATCAGAGATATTTAAGGGAATGACCAGTAAACCCTGAGACAGGGAAGCCAAGATTTCAAAACCCAAAAGAATCCAAAACTGAGTGCTGTTGCTAAAATAATCCAAGATATCATAGAATCACTATCTTTAAGTAAATAAAAGCCAGCTGCAATCCACCCTAGACTACAACACACAGAGCTGCCCATGTGAGAAGCAGTGCAGCTACAGTCACACTTGCTCCTTTGTGACTTCTGGATTGGGGTTCCCACAGGCTACCTGCTCTATTTTCTTTGTCCTCTGTGCTTCCTCCGTCCTTGGTCTCTGCCAACTGGCAGTCGCTTCAGCTTTTCCTGGTTCCCCAGTTTCAGTTAATCCACATAATCACTGTCAGTCTCGTTTGCCCATCCCCACCCTCTGGAAATGTCATGTATACTATCCGCCTATAAATCAAGTCAAACAATCCCAAACACAATTTTTAAGTTTGGTAAAAATCTTCCTAGCCATTTTTATCAGATGTGATAAGCAATCCACAGACTGCAATTTAATATGATTCATAGAGTTACTGGGAAGTGAAAAAAGGTTTTTTTCCCTGAGACCATTCATTTGTGAAGAAAAGTTTTGCCTTGGGGACAGAGTTTAAGTATTAAAAAGTTAAAACTTTACGTAGAAGCCAGGAAGCCCTTTTACTTGAGAGATGACCTAGTGTGAGAGAAAAACTTAGATTTTGGAGTCCGACAGATTTTAGTTTGACCTAGCTACATGACCCTGGAAATATATTTATCAAGGGGACCAAAATATTCTGGGGGAAAGGTGGTGACTTTCTCTACCTATTTATTTTATAATTACCCAAAAGAAGGTTCTTCTAGAAGAATTTCTCTGGAAGCATACACTTTAAATTTATGACATTGCTTAAATTGCAGAAGTTTGTTCAGATGAGCTAATCAGAGGATTGGCAAGCCTTCTTCATTGCGACATAGGTTACCATAACCTTCCTCTTGTTACAAAGTTAGATATTGGTGTTATCCAACTCAACAAAAACAAGGAATACTCTTAAAGTCACTGTGCCATGTCACCTCCTGCATGGTGCAACGCATTCAGGAGCCAGGCAGTCACAAGGAGAACGGTTAGCACAGTAGAGGGATGAAAGGCACACATTGTTTCCCCAAGTCTATGACAGCAGCTGAATAATGGCGTTTTCTTATGGAAAGAAGTGGGTTTGCTTTCTGAGAATTTCTCTGTATTTTCCTTGGATTCAGGACTTGTCAGCGAGGACACCATAAAACCCAAGGATAAGACTCAATCAGCAATAACTCAACACCCATAGAAAGGGTGGTTTTCAAAGACCATTAAGAAGCTGTTTGTAATTTGAGCTTCTGAAACCACTTAGGAAGTTCACCAAGCCAGAGAAAAGCGCGAGTGTCTCTCTTTGTGAGCAGGCTGCATAGTGAGACGGAAGGCCCCATAGCAGGGAGCGCCCCATTTGTGCTACATCATGTTTGGTCCTTACGGCTAAGATCCAGCATGGTTTCCATGAAGAGTCCCCTAGAGAAGGTTTGTAGTTTGTTGGATTAGCACTCACAGGGGAGATGTCTACACATGTGGAATGATAGAACAATCCTCTACTCTTCTCCGAAAGCCAACGCTCCTGATTTAGTCCCTCCAAATTCCTAAGAGGAATGCTGTTCACTTGATTAAAAATGGTAGTTTATTACCGCATGTCCTGAGTTTTTACAATGTGAATTATACATAAATATTTTCAGGTTAACACGGGCTTCTTTACCAACAGCATATGTTCTTCACCACAATCTTCAGAAGTGATAGAAAGATATTATTAATAGTATTATTATATCAAATTATTATTGTGGATGGCTTAGATTAGCTCTTTGATAAGAGGATAGGAAGATCAATGAGGGACCTGAAGTTGAAGGGGGACACATAGAAAAGATTCAAAGTAAAAATAAATATGTCCTTCGCACTAGCAACTATTCTTCTAGGAAGCACTTCTATAAGTACTTGTACATCCACATGACTATATCCACCCCAGTTGGATAAGGATATGGATATAACAATGCTCATTGCTGCAGTGTTTGACACCACACACACAAGAAAACTGAAAACTAAGAGTCAATTCAAAATAAATTGCAGAGCATCCACAAAATAAGATAGTATGGAACAGTTAAAAAGAATAGAAACTGTGAACTTTGGCTCCTGTGTAAAGATGTAAAGAATAAATTGCCTATCAGCCCATATAGTATGATCTCATTGGCGATTATAAAAAAATAAGGAGCTAGTTATTTCACTAGATTCTTAGACATACCAGGAGAATTTTCAGAAAGATGCTCTACGGTTACCTAGGAATAGGCCTAGAAGTTTGGAAGCAGAGTGCAAAGTTGGAGTCATACTGTCCATTATAAATATACCAGTACCCATGTTTGAAATGTTTACATGTGGTAAAAACTTTACTCTTTTTTAAATTTAATGTTTACCATATTTTTTTTCCTATTACCATTTAGTCCCCTTATACCCCCATACCCTCAAGCAATCACCACACTGTTGTCCATGTCCGTGAGTCCTTATTCCTTTTTGCTCAATCTCTCCACCCCCCAGCCTTAAAGCCAATGTTTAAGTGTGTGTAAAGTTTTATGTGAAAGGATAAGGGAGGAGGAAAACTAGTCAGAGTGCTTACATGTGCCACATCCCTGACTCTGTATATGTTACCTCACCTACTGTTAGGACAACTCCATGAGCCATGACTTTTTTTCAGCTTGTGGGTGAGAAGTAGAGGCCCCAAGGGGCTGATTTATGACCTTCACAAGCTACGTGAACAGATTCAACCCAATTTTCTGAGACCACCCCCCCCAAAATCCGCATGTATGTATGTCTGTAGGCCACGCTGATATGATTGTGTATAAAGGTAATAAGAAGAAAAACAAGAAAAAGCAGAAGTATTCTACCTTCTGGAATTGGAAGCTGAAACATAAGGCTTGTCTGACAGGGTCAGCCTATGGGTCTGTAAGGCCACGCTTTGACCTCTATGCTAACAAGTAGTAATTGTGGTGGTACACTTGTTCCTATTAATTGCTTTGCAAATATGCTCCAAGTGTTGTTGTATTGAAAAAAAATTAAACGCAAATTGGAATGTAGTGGCTCCAAAGAACAAAGTGGGAACGAAGGATTAGAAAGGTAACTAGGAGCACTGGCTTTACCGCATTTCAAACAGCTTCTGTTGTTCCAGTTAGAATTGTAAAATAAAAGGAAAAATTATTTTTTCTTTCAAGGCTAAATGGTAAAATGGAAAACTAATTTAATGTTGCCTTTGTATTACTTTCAAATTAAAATTAAAGCCACCCTTTTACAGAAATGGCTCGCCTTACCAAGGTCAAGAAATAATCAAACAAAATCCTATGAAATTATTCATTTCACTGTGATTTTTTTCTCTTTTGTTCTTCTACTGTTCAGAAAGCTTATTGACTTGTAAGTGACTCTTCATGCTAATATGCACAATATTTATACATCTATAAGTAATACCCACTTGCCCAGTGGCATTCCACACAGAAAAAATAGAATTTTATGTATCATTAAGCAGTTTCCAAGGTGTCAGCAATTTCATGCAAAGCATCAGTATAATGACTTCTAGCAATACTAGCTAAATAACAGAGTGTTTGGAAATTTTTAAACCACTGCATTGAATACACCTGGACCCCCTGATTGAGCTAAACACTCCCTCCCTTTTCCCCGTGGGTTCTGCAAATATGAGCAGCCCCCAGCCCCTTTACAATAGTGTCTCTCTAGGGAAATGGCCCTGGGAAGGGGACTGGGAGTCAGAGGCTCCGGCCATCTTAGTGGCGGTCAGCAGAGAGACCCAGTGGCCAGGGCCACTGCCTGTTTGCAGGACCCAATGCCAAATGACAATGTGGGGCTCCTTGCTTAAAAAGCAAAAAAAAAAAAAAAAAAAAAAAGTGTCATTAAAAATAATAAAACAAAATTTTAAAATTTTTCTGGGATCTCTTTCTCTCAACCTGCCATGGTGTTTTTATTTACTACTTAATGTCTTTCTAAGTAAAGAACAAAATTTAAATTTTAATTATTAGCATGAATTTTAAAATTCATCTTTGTGTTATACAACACCAATTTTAAAAAAAGCATTTAACTCAAAAGCAAAGTCATTGAAATGGCACAATTTATCTTTCATAGCTCATCCATGCATATGAATATTGTTCTTATCAGAACAGTGAAAATGTTACAGAAAACTAACTCAATTGTTTTTATTTCATTTATTGATATGTCTGCATTCCACTAATACTTCTCCATTGGCTTATGATAAGTAAGGAAAGACAAAAATAGGAACTGCCTATTTTTCCTTTTCCTTCTGCTATCATTTTCAGCATTAGTAGATGACTAATACAAAGAAGTAACTCAACTAAGAAAGGGTTTGATGA